CACGGATTTTGAAGATCCTGTGCCAGATCGTTGATGAAAATGACAAAAAGTAAGGGGCCTAGCACTGAGCCCTGGGGAATCCCACTTGTAACCATCTCATGGTTAGAAATGCAGTCACCCACATTGACCCGGAAGGTGCGATTACCCAAAAAAGTTACAATCCAGTCCCTGACTCTACCTGTTACGCCTAGGCTCCGAACGTTGAAGTTCAACAATCGATGGCTGACAGAGTCAAACGCTTTACAGAAGTCTAAGTAGTAGACTTCTACATTTTTCTTTTCATCCATACAGTGAATGACTTCATCTAGAAACAGAAGCAGATTTGTAAGACATGATCTCCGTTGCACAAAGCCATGTTGTTCCCGTGTCAGGAGTCGATTGGTAGTCAGATGTAGTCAAATCTGCCTTCTGATCCGTCGCTCCAGGTACTAACACAGCACTGACGTTAGGCCAAAGGGACTTTAGTTTTCTGCTTTATGTTTCGGTCCAGCGTTGTGCAATGCTACTACGGTGGTTGTGCACCAGTCCCGGGGTAGCGTAGCAGTTTGCACTGATTCCCTAAACATTACAATCAGCGGCCCGGCTAGCACCAGGCCAGCGGCTGCACTATGGCTGGATAGATTCCATCCGGACCTGCTGACTTGTGTTTGTTGAGCGTCTGGAGTTCTCGATGTACATCTGTTTCACAAATGGCAATTTCGGCAAACTCTGACATATTGGTTGATCTTGCCTAACTCGGATTATCCAAGTTGACTCGAGTCTTATAAACGCTTTTGAAGAACTTAAGTAGGGTTTCCACCTTATCGCGGTTACACGTAGATATGCTTCCATCGGGCAAAGCTAGTGCTCCTACACTCTCCCGTGTGCGTGCGTTGGCTTGTAAGTAGGCATAGAAGCTTTTCGGGTTCATTTTGACTCATCGCGCTAAGTTAAACTCGAAGTCATATTTGGCACGACTTTGGAGATCTTGACATCTGTTACGCGCCCGCTTGTAGTCATTCCACGCTTGTTGAGTGCCGTAAAGCTTAAAGCGATCCCGGTATTGTCGGCGAATTTCCAGTGCCTCCTCTATCTCGGGTTTCCACCATATTGGTTTACGTCTGGTTCGTCCTTCCCTCAGTGGCTCGAACCTTTCTGTGAGGCTAGTTAACCCTCCTTTTACTACGTTCCATCTATCTTGCACGGTACACTCCGAGGACGTCGAATACCAGCTGATGGTATTTGTAGCTTGCACCAATTCTGCGACGTTTATGAGATCATGGAGACGCATGAGAGTAGGTTCGTGCCTACAATAGTTAACCATTAGTCTAAAGCAAATAACTGGGTGGTCACTTCTGTCCAACGGTTCTTCCATATTTAGACTAGTTATGTTCGAGCAGTATCTTTTGACAACTAGGTCTAGTAGCGGGGGTCTCTGTTATCCTTGGTTTCTCCTTGCTCTTGTTACATGCTGTCAGAGCTCTTTCTTGTAGAAATTGCAAGAATGTAGCCCCTGGGGAGCCCGTAGGTGCATACCCTCCTAACCATGCTACCTCCGGAAAATTGAAATCGCCAGTGATGACAAAGCGCTGGTATTTCGCCAGCGTTTGATTTAGGATCATAAAAAGCTCCGTATTAGGGTTCTATATATGCATGCTACGCCCACTTGCTTCCGTCCCAGTTAAATACAGCATCCTGTGGCTTGGATATTTGGAGTAGCTAACTCCAGCTGAATTTCCCTTTGGTTTAGGACAGTCTTGACGAGCAGTAGTACTCCGCCCTCCCCCCTGTCTGCCGTCAGTCCTGTCCTGTCCATAGCTGGTATACCCGTTAAAATAGGCAACGGGTTACTCCTTTTCCAGTGGTACTGACTATGTCTGACCCCCGGGAGAGGGCTCCTAATTCTCCCCACTTTTCACTAATACTACAAGCATTCGTGTACCACACTGTGATAATTTCTGCTTTTAGAGCTGGCGGGAATGACCTATCTATAGCATCAGAGCCCTCGGGCCTAATACCCGAGGAGCCACCTCGTTTTTTGCTATAACTTTGACGGTGAGAATGTCCTCGGCTACCCATGACAGTTCACCTTTGGCTTGACCTATATTCGTAAATCTGAGGCCTGACACTGGAATCACAAGATTTTTTAGGTCTGCTGGCCCAGTGGAACTCTAAATCACCACGGTTGGCTTGTACCGAAGTGTATTGGTCACAAATGTGGCCCAGCTGCAGAATTCAGATGACCTATCCGGTGTTTTCAGCGGTCCTGTCTTGTCAGCGAGATGCTGTTTCCTTGCAGGAGCAGTTGAGGTTAGCTATCAACAGCGATTGTTTCAAGCATTTTTCGATGCACTCCGAAAATTTAGCCGTCCAAGAAGCCATGGTTAATTTACTTGGTCTGAGAATATTCCCATCACGACGAGACTGCACTTTGACGTGGTGTGATAGCTTGTGGACATTCATGACCTTGCGAGCTACACAGGATCGTTTTCCACAGTTGCATATCAAATCATGCCTGAGAGGTCAGGGGGTGTAGGTCGAACTAAGCTCTGTCTCAGAAGATCAGCTGCTTGGGCACTCCCTAACTTCCTTTTTTTATCCACACCTGCCCCTGGAGAGGTCACTTCAGCAAATAAACACGATGAGGGACAGATTAGTGGTCAAACCCCCTCGAGGGGGGGGGACGTAGAAGCAGGGTACCCGGACTTCCTCTCGACGATAGAAGAAGTCTTAGCACTTCATGGGACAACTACACACACACACCAAGTTGAGCATCTTCAACCAATAAGGTACTGTCCCGTTTAGGTTCCGCTTATCTCATTGGGTTCATGA